AGTATAATTTTCTCTTTTGTCATGAGAATGTTCACAAATAGTTTCCAAGTTTTAAGGACGCACCCAAGAGGAGAATGTCTCGAGACACTACCAGGTGTCAAGACCTCTGGGCTCCAAGGCAGCAGTTCCAGCTCACCTGGAAGACCTTGTCCCCAAGCTGAGAGGTTTTTTTATGGGGTCCATACACTTCCACCAAGGAATTTATCAGCCTCAGCACTCCTGACTGAGCACAGCAGCACTATGTGAAGTCAGCGTGCAAGAATCTAGCCCTTTAAACTATGAGTTTAAAAAATAAAACATTTAGCCAAAACAAAGCCTTACAAGGCATCAGTAAGCTAGATACTAGGCCCTAGTATATACTCACAACCAGAATTTGCACAGAAAGATCTTGATACTTGGCAAGCTTCTCTGTGGAGGAAAAGGTAGAGTGAGATTTTATTTTTGTTAGCTCTGCTATGCCCCTAAGCTGTGGCATGCTTCACTCACTAAAATTAAATGTAATATGTCCTTGTGTTGAATCATACTTGGGTTGGTTGTTAAACTGTTATAAAACATTATAGCCATAAGAAATGGAAATACTGCATATGCTGTGTGCAATCCATTCACTGGCTGATGGAGCCAAAGACCCTTCAGACACCATTACAAATCCTCTGATGTCCCTCCCTTCCAAATTTACTTTCTGATACCAGCACTAGAGGCAAGAAGCGTGAGACTGTATAGAGCCACTATTAATCAGGCTTTATACAGTGCTTGTGCCAGCAAAGAATAATCTGAGTTCAAAATTCTTCCCTGTGTAGTGTTTCTAGGTGTGTGATGCATGAAGAGTAACCTAACTATACTAGTCAAATTACATAATGTTTTTAAAGAGTATTTGCAGACAGCTGATTTGCATTAATGCCCACCTTAACTTGCCTCTTGCAAGGCAATCATTATCCTAATACAGCTCTGCTGGAGAAGGGAAAAAACCTGCATTTTGGAGATATTTTCAAAGGCACAAAGAGGAAACAAACAGGAGAGTTGCCTTAGCTAATGAGCCTTTGAAAATCTGCCCCAGTGCTCCTTTTGGTAGATGATATTTTTTATGAAGTTTGCCATGTTTTGTGTGTAGAACCTTTACCATTGGAGTTATTTACAATGAATCAGCATGATCAGTCGTTTTTGCAGTATTCTATGAAACAATCTGATCATCCAGCTATGAGTCTGCATGGATTGTGTTTAAGAAAAGGACACATTCATAGTGTGAAATTGACCTTTTGTAATTTCTGTGTTACCAGCTAATGTGGGAGGACAACTTGGATTTAAAATGACACAAGGATCATGACTAAAAAAAGATACTAGTTAAAAGCAAAAGGTTAATCTGAGTTTCAACTTGGAATGTTGCAAATTCCAAACCAAAATGCATCTCCTTTCTTCATTTTATTTTGCTAAGAGACTTTTCCAAGCTGTCTGATACAATCAGTTCTCTCTCAATGATACATCATGCACTCATCAACGTGCTTATGTACTCAGAAAATTTTATCTGGAAAAAGTTAGAATAGGACCAGAACTTTTAGCTAGCTGCCTGTGACTCTGTAGGGACAGGCAGACAGGACTCATGAACATGTGATACAGAAGCTACTCAGCAAATGGTTTGTCACCAAGAGAGGGGGAAATGTAAGCAGCCAGACATCTTGTACAGAGCAGCATTTAGGTAAGAGTAAGCACGGAGAAGGAATACCCATTCAAGGCTGGGTGGGATGGGGAAACCAGATTTAAGCCACTGAAAATAGACTGCAGTATCATTCTTACACCTTTCAAGAATGCACTGACCATCTCTTTTCTCATGTACAAAGGCCCTTTCTAACCAACATATAAAAGGGAGAGAAATGCAGAAAACAGACATGAGGAAGAACCAAGTGAAAACTGTGAGGTGCTTAAAACAATGGTAGGTAAAGTATGGTATGTTAGCCCTTTCATTGCCAGAACATTTTAAATATGTCTTTACTTAAGACACACAAAATCCAATGTAGTTTGTGCATCTTCTGGCAATAGAGTGAAAGCTGAGGTATTAAAAATGCACGACTCACACAGGCTGTTACATTTAGTTTCCTCCCAAGTAAAGACAACTGCTGTCATCTTTGTCTTGGGGCCAACATTTTGTATAGCATACCATTGAGAGTTAGAGTCCTAAGCAAATTCACATTTCTCTCTGGGCCAGTTCTCAACCCCTTCTGAACAGAACACACATGCAAAAAGCTGATCTGATTACTCAATGGATGCTTACACAGAGGTGACAGAGGAGGGAAACCTGTCCAGCTTGGCAGTGTCTAATAGAATCGGGTAGCAGTAACACATCAGGAGTTGCTATTTGACTTCAGGGAACTCTCTCCCTAATCTTCTACAGAAAGCACTTCCCAAAACTGGCTATGGGAGCTTGACAAATGCCTTTTCCCTCCACTTTCCCACCTCTCTTCAATGCCATGGCAAGCTCATGGCCACCAGGGATCCTCCTTTCTGTTCCTCATAACTGAAACACATCATTGGGACACTTTTTTTTTTTTTTTCCTCACCACCAGTGGATTTGAAGTTGGGGGTTGGCTTGGAGGGGTCTCTGCTCAGTCCTGGGGAGAAGCCATGGGTGAAGGACATGGTGGGAGGCCAAGCTGCTGGCCCCAAGGCTATGGGGAGAGCCTGCGGGGCCAGGGGGGCTGCGTAGGAGCATGGGGACATGTGCGACTGGCTCTGCAAGGACCAGCGAATATTTTGGGGGTGGAGCACCACTGTGTGTGATGGAGCCAGGTCCCAGGTGGTGCCTGCACATCTGCTTGCCAGGAGAAGTGGAGAATAAGCTCCTTGTTTGGCTTTGCTTGTGCACGCAACTTTGCCTCACTGCCTTGCTCTCGACCCATGAGGTTATCCCCCTCTATTGGGCCTTCCCACCTTTGGGAGGCATGTTTTGACAAAAATGAGCAGGAGTCAATGAAAGGGCCTCAAATAATTGCCAGTGAAACCTCTGGATTGGATTCTATGGTTTTTCTTCCTACGC